TCAGAGGATGAAAGAGAGACCACCTGCGGAGGGTGAGAGGGGAATTTTTATATATATATATATATATATATATATATATATATATATATATATATATATATATATATATATATATATATATATATATATATGATGTCCACTTCTGAGTATGTATATTCTGTTATATTCATATTCTATTCTATTCTATTCTATTCTATTCTATTCTATTCTATTCTATTCTATATATAGTCATATTCTATCCAAGAGTTTTAAAATATAAATGAATTAAATGCCAGAATGCCAGATTCTAAAATTATTTTTAATTAATTAATACAAAAATACATACCACCAACTACAGTCTGTCATTATTTACAAAACAAAGGTCAATGCAAAACTAAAATGAAAGACAAGGAGCACTCTAAAATCTCTAGATATGAATGAACTAGGAGATTCACCTAAATGCTATTTATTTTTAAAAGCTTTTTTTTTTCTTTGAAGTTTTTTTTTTTTTTTTTTTTTACGACTTTTGTTTTAAGCACAATAAAAGCTTTTCATTCATTTTCAATTAATGATTTTCACTCCAGGAAGCAATCAGGGACCATGGTTTTTTATTGTTGTTGTTTGCTTAGAAAGTAATTTAGCAACAAGAACATAAACATGTTCATGTTACTAAATTAGTTTCTAGATATAGTCTAGTTAACGGACTTAAAAACTTACAGAAACTTTGCAAATTGAAGAACTGATGCAAAGTTGTAATGTATCTGTTGTTTGAAGGTGTAAAGTGAGGAACAGAACTATACTCAACACACCATGAGAGAGATTGTGCAATGGTGTGACATTTCAAACTAAAGAGAGATAGACTTTATGTTCCTCTTCTGGAAGGAGTAGTTCAGGTTCATTTGGAGTCAGTGAACTGAGAAATGGAAAATTTGTACTTTTGTGAAGTGAAGCATACACATTGCGGTCTTTGTCGTATCGCCTTAGAGCAACTTTGCCTAAGTTGCTGTCTTGTCTTCCCCATGGGGGAAGTGAACACATTTCACTTCCTCAGTGGTTCGAAGTAAGTCTAAATATGTCCAGATTATAAACAACACTGGCATGTGCACTATCACATTTGCCTGTGTAAAATCTCCAGCTGTACAGCTAATAACAGAAATGGGTAATTAAATGAACGATCATCCTGCTAAATAACTCCTGATCAGTTTTATAAGGCTGAAAAAGTAACATTATTTTTCTTGTCACATATTAATACACTTCTAAAACTACCATTTTAAAAAGCTACACACTTTAAATTCTGAAGACAAATTACATTTACTCAGACAATTTCATTAAATTTAGCTCCACCTTGTGGACGAAAACAGTATGTTCAACATGGAGAAACAAACATTTTACAGAATTCAAGGAGGTAAAAGAAGACTACTTTCTGTCAAGGAGTATATACTAAGCTTTCAAAAAATAATTGCACTGCTTTAGCGTTTTACAACAATGTCCTGATTCTATTCTTTGTGACTAGAAGAGTGTAGATCCTGCAAGAAACTGATAAAAGTAGAATATCGGTTTCTGTGTTAAAATCCTTTTTTTATGCATGCCATTCTGTATTAACTTTATAATTTTCTATATTGGTTTCACTGATCAGACTTTTACTGGTCAATACCAATGTCCTGATTTC